AATGCTGCTCTCTGGGTGCCGGCTGGTAAGGGTTCCAGGCGATACACTGCTTTGACAACACAGTTGACAAATGGTTTGTTCGGAAACAATGTGCGATGCAACTCTTCCTGGTGCTTGCTCAAGCAGCGAATGCCATATTTGAGGCCTAACCTACAAACGGCAATGCAGTGGTCAACTGTGCGCACACGATGGATCGCATCACTCAGGGAAAACTGAGGAACCCAGACAACCGCAAAGGCATCATCAGGACCAGGAACTTCATCCCCCCGAGGCTCAAAGAAGCAACCCTGGGACCCTGACAAACGGTGCACTGAATCAAAACTAGACTCTGGGATGCGGATGTACACTGACAGAGCTTCGGCTTGCTTGGGTGGGCTTTTGGTGCCATCATGTGCATGCCAACGGAAAGACCAAATATCCAACAAACCAGACTCTACCCCTTCCTCCTCCAAAGACGGGTGGTACAGTGAGCAGTCAGTGCATCCCTCCTGCTTACACAAACGGAAGATGGGAAAGATCTGAACCAGATGTCGGACCGGATGTGCAGCAAACTCTTCCCAAGAAAACTCAGTAGGCCATAGGTCCTTGAAAGCATGTGCCCTCATGACCTTGGTTGGACAAACCGTAATCTCTGGTGCCTCATCATTTTGACGGCGATAAACGGCCTGGTCCCCAAGTTGAACTGAGGTACAGTCAATGATTACTGGCTCATTTGTCCCTTTGTAAATTGCTGGAACTCTCAGACCATGCATGGGCAATGACACAGGCAGGTTTTCAGGCATGGGACCTATGACTAGCAAGGCAAGACCATCAGGACTGATCAGCTTACCATCGGCCAAAAACCTTTGCACATCAGCTGGTGTGGCAAACGCTACACCTCGGGCATCTTTTTGCACTTCGTCAAGCTGCAATTGCGGCAAAGCAGTGCCACAGTTTGTCATGAAGATACCATGTGGTAAAGTCAAACTGGCCGGATCAACATATTTTGAAAGGGCTGACTCCTTCTTGCTTGCTTTCTTTTGTGTCCTCTTGGCATCTAAAGCTCCGAACTTCCCTTGTGCTCTTTCTTGGATGTGTTGTTGCAGCTCATGGTGCAACACCCAAAGAAAAGGCTTTGGACGTGAATTCCCCAAAGTCTTCAGGGCAGCCCAAGGGTTTTTGGCTTGCAATGCCTGGTGGATAGGCTTGATTCCAAAGGCCTTAATGGCTGCTTGCGCTCTGCTTTGCACTTCACTGTCGGGAACCCCCTTGGCTGGGAGGATTTGTCCGAGGGACTGGACAATTGCAGTCTCATCGGGACCAAAACCGACTGGTCCATGGAAACCCTTGATGCTGGCACACACAGCTAAGCTAGCATGCAAGGCCTCAAATCCAATGGCCTGCTCATACGTGATGGCACCGATATGGAAAGCAAAGTGCGCAAGTGCAACAGTGCCACAAGAATCTGATCTATCTTGTGGGAAGTCCCAGGTGGTTCTGGCATGCACCCGTTCCGCTCGCCATGCTTGCTTCACTACAGATATCAAAGGAGCCAAAGCGGTCAAGGGAGTGAGGCCCAAGCCATCATACTGCACTACCTTCAATATGGAAGCTTCAAAATGACAAGATACCAGAGTCCAGTGCCGATTGCAAAGCACAAAAATCCAAGTAGGCGCGCATGCAACCTGAAATGTCTTCATGGCACAACCTTGGACCTCGTGCGGGCTGTCCAACACCACCACCTTGATCTGACTGCATGCACACACATTTGGAACGAGACTCCCCAAAGCCTTAGCAAAGTCCAAAACAAACTTCACCGTAAGTCCAAGGTGAGATGAGGAGGGGTTGGTGGAAAGTCCAAAAGGCATCTGATGGGGGACATGTTCCTGGTAGTCCAAGGTGGGTGAAATTCCAATGCTACTAGGTGCAGACAGGCCAACATCCACAAGCCGGGCATCACGGGTGCTACGCAAGGCCGCAACAAGGTATGGAGGCAAACCCAAAGCATGCTCAAGGAGTTCAAACACTCGACCCAACGTTCCCATGGCTCCCCTTGTGGATTCCTGGTTGTCAAAGGATTCAAGATAATGCTCACAACTTGCAATTGCCTGGACACGAAACGCAAGGTAGGCTGCAGTACAGGATGCTTGAATGGGCTCATAAAAGGTAACCTGCAAGGTGTTGGGCTCAAGTCGAAAACAGACAAGATTCCACCCCCATGACTCCCACACTATGGCATACACGAGTGTGCGTTCAGTGTGAAGCCAGACCTTCAAGTGCTCATCAATCGTACTTGGCCACAGTTCAAGCACTGCTGCCGCAAAGGAAGGAAGCCAACAAACCAAATGGGCAAAAGAGGTCCCCACCCAAGAGAGCAGCAATTCGGACTTGACCAGCTGGTCAAGATGCCACAAGCCTGTGCATTCAAATGCATGAGTGACTTGCAGCCCCATGTCATTGCCTGATTCAAGTCCAAGTCCACTCAGGCGCAACTGCAGCTCCAATTCAACTTCTTCTGGTGACATCTGGACAATCACCGTCTTCCAAGGGCAGACCTTCTGGTCAAGTTGAATCTCTTGGTTGTTCTCATCGACCAACCGATGATACTCATGGATGCCCGCCCATGTCAGGAAAAACGAATAACTCATGCTGGACGGAACCACATGAAAAGACCTCATGCCAAGAAACTCCAAGATGACAGGGGACATAAGAGGCATGTCGGCATCATGCATGACCGGGTGGATGTGATATGTGCGTTCCTGCAGAAAAGTCCATGGTGGAAGCACAAACCCCTCGCACAGAACTTGCAGTTGAAGTCCATTGAAGAGCTGCTCAGCACGCACCAAATCTTTCACTGTCTGTGAGGTGTTGCACACCACATCCAACATGGTTCCCTGATGACACAACTTGATGGACAGTAAACCCACGTCTGGATTTGGCCAAGTCAGGTTTCGTTGTTTTACTATCATGGTCAAATAACCTGCCAACAACTCTCTTGGTGTCTTTGCATGCTGAGTCATTCCAAGCTGGTGCAACACATGACCAAAAATCCAAATCACTTGAACCGGGGACACTGCGTTTCCAAACAACGCAAGCTGAGCACGGCAGTCGGACAGCACTGCTTCGAAAGGTGGAAAACCCATGATGACTTGCAGTTCTCTGGGATGTATATGCCTAGGAGCATGTGGCCAAAGACCAGAACAAATCTCAACACCTCGCAAGCCTTTCCTCAGCAAACTTGTCACACTAATCCCCTGGTCACGGCAACCACACGGACATTTATATAGAACCGAACCCCAAGAGTGCAATGCAGTAGGGCAAGGAGCCTGCATGTCCAAAGTGCGATCACAAGAGCCAAAGTCTGGATTCCTGAACGCCTGCATTTCAAGCTCAGTCCATTTGAGCTGGGATTCATCTTCTTGGCTCCAAACTGGCCATGGTGCATATGGAAACAGATCACCCAAGACCGGTGGAGGAGATAACACAGGAAGGTCACACAAGCAGTCCAAACCGAAAGCACGGGGGAAAATCAAAGCGAACCACCTGGTGCGTCGACACGGCCACACCGTGTGGAGTTGTAGGATCCTTTGATGAACCACGCAATCGCAGTAAGAGGCGTACTCATGTATTGCCTTCTGAGTGGCCGTGTCGTGGAGGGCTTCTGGTACGCACTCTAAACATATCGCAGTGGAACCAAGGCACAAGGCTGCTCGCAGGACGGCAGGCAGTGTGGCGCTTCTGATGTCCAGGTGTCTGTTCAAGTGACCCTGAACGGACAGGGGTTGGCATGGTATGCCTGCTGCCAAAGCAGGCTGAACTCCCAAATTCAGCTGATACCGATGCATAAGACAGACAGTAGAAGGATCCCCAACATCACCCTGGATAAACGGCACGCTGTGATTGCTCTCAAAGGCGGTCTCAGCAAGTCGATTCCAATCCACAGCACAAACGGTGTGCACATTCAGGAACTGAAAGGCCGTGGTAAAACCACCTAACCCACAAAGAACGTCGTGAGCATATCCAAAGTCCAATTTATTGGGGGGTCTAATGCCAAGGGGGCTTCGATCCGGATGCAAATGAACAATCCATGCGTCATCAAGCTTTCCTGAGGACTTCGTCACATCATAAAGAGTGACACACTGATCCACAGGTCCACCAAACTGGAAAGCAATGCACTCCCCAAATGGAATTTCCCAACCACAATGGTAATCACCTCTTTGGAAGGTGGCACCAATCACGACATTTCCCTTTTGGCCAGGGGTCCAGTCCCGAACTGATGTCAAATCCATGGCTGATCACAATCCCCAAAACGATCCGATGAAAACGGTGCGACCTCTGGTAGGTGTTCTGAGCCCGCACTATATAGATATCAATAACTAAGTTAACACTAAATCTAGTTAATTATCAATATAGAAATGTGTGTCAATTACCGAGGAGGTGTCAAAAGGGTGCTCCCTGCATTTGATTGAATCTGGGCGACTGACTACAATCTTGGTTATTCCAGCATGCAAGTCATGAAATGTGGGACCCGCAAAAACTGTCATCATCGATAATAGCGTGGTTTATGAACTTATGTATCCCCACCATTCATTGGATGATTTACAGCCCCAAATGGTAGATATTTGATGATCATTGATTTCGAATCTGTGCCCTTGGGAATGCCTTTCTCATTTGCTATATACACTATCCATCACTATCTTCATTCCTTAAGCGAGATTTTATTTCCTTAAGCGCTTCCATGCCCATGGTTGTTTGTTTGTAATTATTGTATTCTCATGCAAGCCCACTATATAAGAACAAGGCAAGCAATGGTTAGAAGGTTTGTTGGTCATGGACATGGCCCTCTTGTTTTGGGTTCCTCAACTTGCCCTATAGAAAATTGTCAGTTGCTCGTATCTGCGGGTGAGATCCATAGCTATAATAGCAGGTTACAGCTAAATATACCATCGCTTATTGGTGATATACCAATCAACGCTTTACCTTTTTGATGTCATGTCCCAACCCGTACCCAAGATGCTGGCTGGATGGTAGCCCAAGGTCTCAATTGTCTCCTCACAGAGCCAAACAGGGACCAACAAGACCCATATGATGTCTGGCAGAATGTGGTAATATGCTAACCCCCCCCAGTCACCTCCATTGTTATGGGTGGTTTGTTAACCATCCCCAGTCACAATAGGTTTCATTGACCTGCCAAACTGGACCGATTCAACAAAACGACGCTGCGTGATTTCGTTGATTTGCAACGTACTGTATACATATCTACAACAATAACGATTTAGTAGATATCGGTCAATGTTAGGTTATACATATTTATTGACAACAACAATAACAATAACAATATAAGCTTTAAAACATGGGTTAGTCAGAAAATCAGGTACCCCAACACCTCATGATTCATTTTTCAATTACCATCAATTTTATATTAACGTCAAACATGTGCTTTGAGTTGAAACAAAAAACGTGTAGACATCGGTCCATTGGAGACGGTCTGACCAATCATGAAGATTTTAATAAGATTGATTTCAGTGAACAACGAGAGAAACAAAACAAACAAATGCTAACCCATGCAAATAACCAAACTATAGAGAACTATAGTTGCAACAGGGCATCAGATTGTTTGAAACATTTTTAAACTATAGTTTTTGCTGATGTCCATTTCTTGGTGGGTTGACATGTTGTTTTTCTCCGAAACATTTCGAAACATATATTTCCATCTATTCAAATAAACAAAACTGGGTATAACTTGATATTATCCCATTATTATCCCATTATTATCTCATCATTGTCCCATTATTATCCCATTGAGTTGTCCCATCAGTGCGTAGGATGTCGCGCCGCACCTCGCCCCCCGTCTTGTCCTGCAAATCAAAGGAACGCAGGCCGTTGCGGCTCACGGCATATGCGATGAGAAATCCTGGTGGCCACGTGTTGAATGAACCACGAACAAAATACCACTGTTGATTGGTGAAATATGGGATCCCGGGATAACCATGCAGTATTTCATTGGATTGGGAAACGGGGGTATAGTTGTAAAATGTTGTAAATGATTTATTTGTGCCATAGACCTAATTGTACATTTTCTACGGTCACCACTGCCACTCTTGTGCTCATGCCAGGAGACAAAAATGAGTTTCAGTGCCACTCTCTGATTACAAATTTTGAGTGTTGGACAAGCAAATCAGGGCACTGCCAAAACTATTGACCCCCAAAATGTGTGGTTTGGAAACCCATGTTGTGACGCCATGCCCACATTGGTGTTACTATATTGTGTCTGTTACTGCTGAAACAAACAGCTGAATGCTTGTATTATAGCAATAAAAAACTACCAGAAGAGGCAAAAACATAGGGTTCGAAAATAACAGTGCAGCACACTATTTTTTTTTGTTTAACATATATATATATAGAATGCATGTTATATAATAATAGTATTATAGACAATAATAGTTTTGGAAAACACACTAATGGTATGAATACTGATATTGGAAAATTATGTTGACCAAAAATCAAATAACAATATAGGATATTGAAGAAGGATAGTGTAGGTTTGTCTCCAATTTCAGGGTTTCTTAAAATGGGAGATCCTCAAAACCATAGGTTTCAATACAAAAATGGTCTAATGCCTTGGATGTCTTGGGGGTCCTCCCTTTTTTTTTATGGAAAAAACCTCCATATATAGCCATTATCCAAGATTATTATCCCATTATTATCCTACTTGGTGGCTCATTCCACTTAGTAAGTGGGTTATAACCCCAGTTATGAGTGGATTTACCCTACTTATCCCATTAATAACTGGGGTTATAAACCACTTACTAAGTGGGATGAGCCACCAAGTATTATATCCCATTCAAAATCACGATTTTTTCCTCACGTAACGCACGTGAAACACCGGCCCAACTCCTTGATGTCGCGCGAGGTCCCGCTGCAGCGCAGCTCGGAGAAAGCCTCGCTTTACGACGCTTCAAAAAGACGCCGACTCTGTCATGGTGATGCGTAGGAGAAGTGCTGAGGAAATCAAACATATATATATATGTATATATATATATAGTGAAGATGAAATGTGGTTAAAACAAAAGTAAATCATCCCCAACATCACCATTATTATGGGTGGTATAAACCATCAAAAATGGGGTGGATTATTATTGTTGTACCCATACTATACATATATATATATATATATATTATACAAATATGCTACCCCCTATGACTCTATACGTAAATTAACCATGACCATTGTCCGTAACTCGGAAGTTTTCTAAGTAAGCTTCCTTTGATAAATAAAATGTATATCAAAGTAATACAATATCCCGTATCCCCCCAAAAAGTTCACAGTGTGGGGTCAGGTGTGCTCCTGTTGACCAAGTGTGGCACAACGAATGCAAAACCCATACCCAAACCTTAGGTACACTTGATCCAACATGAATGCTGTATCGTTGCGGCCGGCACCTTTAAAATCGCGCTGCGACAGGAACATGCAGCGCAAGTAGTCCTCGCTGCTCACCATCGTTTGCGGTACACATGGGATGATGCTATGTGCCCAGATGGGTGTGTCGGAAAGTGTACCCTCTGGTAATTTAACATAGCTATTGAAAATGGCCATTTATAGTTGATTTACCCATTAACATCCATTAACCATGGTGATTTTCCATAGTTATGTTAGCTTACCAGAGGGTACATCCCCCAAATACCCATTGGCAAACTGAGAAAATGATGATGATCAATTTGCTTGCAGGGGCACCCTATGTCCTATGTTCAGACAAACTGCTGCGCTGCTCTGCATGTTTAAACCCGTGTACCCTCTGGGTAATCAAACATGGCAATAATCAGAAAAAACCTGCGGTGTTTTAATAAATAATGTTGGAAAATCATCTATGGTTGATTTTCCAGTGCTATGTTTGACTGCCATTTCTTACCATGTTTTAAATTATTTTTCAATGATTATTGCGCCACCACAACCACGTGGCCGGGGTCCATCCTCACATTCGTCGCCCTTCAAATCTGTGGGCTTTTCGTACAAACACCAACCTGCAGCGTGGACCATGTTGGATGTCAAAAATATCGCCAGCCTAGCAGCCAATCTGCATCATCTTCCATAAGATTCCAAGACGGAAGTCAAACAGTAAGGAACATATATGGCGATATTACTATACAAATTATGTTTTATAGACTATCCATATATGTTTTCCTATACTATACATCAATTTTCGAGAACGAACTCAATCGATTATGGAAATCCAATGGTATCATCGGCTAAGCCCAGCTGATGTTGGGCCTGAAATCGCCTGTGTCAACTGGGAGACAAGAATCCCCAAGTATGGTTGCACAACTAAAACCGCAACCATAGACGTTAAGAAACAGCTACAACGAGTTCTGGTCAACAACATATTGTTTCATATTGTTTCATTGTTAAATCATGTTCGTGGATGGCTAAAATCGAAATTTCAGGCGGAGAGTGGATAGATGTGGATAGTGGATACTCATTTTTTCCATTGTTCATTAAATCATCTGAAATCAAATGAATCGACTTTTTTCGATGGTTCAATCCCACAAAATATATGTATGGCATAATCTGACATGTAAAACTTCCTATGTTCCAAACTCATTCCGCCTATGCGCAGCGCCACGAACTCAAAGGACTCATGTACCTGGGCCATCGAACTCCAAGCAGCAGGCTGCAGCCGGCGAGTGAACATTCGCTTCGTTCTTGGTGTTACCTGTATCTGGTTGGTGGTTGACCTACCCCTCTGAAAAATCATGGGGTTCGTCAGTTGGGATGATGAAATTCCCAATATGATGGAAAAATAGAAAATGTTCCAAACCACCAATCAGAATTGTACTTACTGTGGTGAATAAAGAAAAATAACGAACCTATCCGTAATATATAGTATTGCATAATATCGGTGATACCAAACTGATTGATCTGATTGTATTCTCAAATTTTCAAGTATACAACTATTCGTTCATAGTTTGAACATGTTTGAACATGTTTGAAATAGTACATGACCACGATGGAAAACATGATGACGCTTTCCCCAAAAAGTCAAACAATGGCATCCCGGAGCATCCAGACACGCGAGAAGAGGTAACCCAAGGCCTGGATACGGCTGGTGATACGGCTGTGCTTCTGAATGGCAAAAAGGTATACGGTTCGTTACGTGGGGGAGATCCCCACTATATCCAGTACGTACATCAAAGTACAACTTTGAAGTCTTTCTCGAAGTCACATCTTACTAATCACAATGAAAATGGGATGATAATGGTATATATTAATATAATGATATAACTAACTATGATGATAATGGGATATAGTAATATTATGTAATATTGACTATTAACTAATTATATTAACTATGATAATGATAGTGGGATATGCGAACGAGTTTTCTGTTCTCCGGTCAGCACTGGATCCCGAACGACTTTCGAACGATCATAGCCAGGCGCCTCGCCGAAAACTTTGGACACTGCGTAGAAGGAATCGGGACCCGTGCGACCCAACCTTGGCGACGGCTGCTATGGTCAGGAAATGGTGATTCAATGGTGATTTTATGAGGGTTTAATGGTGATTCAATGTTGATTTAAATGGATTTAAGTGGTGATGTCAATGGTGATTTAATGGGATATAATTAGCTAACCAACAGTTTTTGGAGATATCTTTCGGCAAACCCTAGGAATCCAACAATCATGGTGATTTATGTAATGGTATAATGAGGATCATCATGGGGATACATGGGATATAGTATATAAAATCAACTTGATATGTGCCATGGTCAAGTAAAACAGGGGACCTTTAAGGGGTGTGGGCATCCATCCCACAGTGGGACAATCCCATGGGAATCCTGCGATAATGGGTAGTAATCAATATCCCAATTGATGGATTGATAAGATTATGATCCAACTAGAAAATCATGGCACACTTCTGAACTTTAAAAAATCATAGTTGCAGAGTTAACCAGTTGTATTATTTTTTGTATTCATGAATAAGTGAAAAACATCTTCCACCATAGTTATAGGGGCCGTATCCCAACTTATGGAGGTGGACTTACCATGGTTACAGAAAAAACCCACTGAAAAACCACTTAAAAAAGGGGTGTTTGCACTTGTTGATCTAGCCATTAGTCCAAAAACCATATAAACAACATTAAACAACTAAGACTATGGTTTATACTAATACTAATGCACCTTTTTGCTTAGATTAACCATGGGATCAGTACACATTATATGGGAGAACGTGGTTGCTGAGCCTTTTTTTATTAGCTAGTCAGTTGGTTAGTGACTTTGCTAATAACCTGGTTGGTCAACCTGGTCAGTCAAGCTAAACCCGACGTAGATCGATCTACCGATCTAAGCTATCGTGCCAGAGGGCCCCACCCTCCAAGTTGAACACCGAAAGAGTGATTTCTGTGGCAAACCTGATGATTGATATGATAGAATATGATATACATATTACATATTACAATATATGTATGTATATATATATATACACTTACCTAACCTTACCTACCCCAAAAAGATGCAAACACGATCAAACAAGTAAGATCCAATCCACAAAAGGATGGTGAATTGAAACGGTTCCGTCTTTTTTGAGGAGAGCTATATCAATTTAATGCACATATTTATCATGTACAGTAATGACATATATGTGTGACATGAAATATATGAGGTATCCCAAAATTGGTCCAATGACAAAAGAAAAACCCAACGGATAAGTTTGGATGGCAAAAGAAAAGAAACATGTCGTATGTGTACAGCTAGAGATAGCTAGAGTATGGACAATAACCCAGCTATAAACCATGTATTGTACTACCCACCTGAGCAGTGTTCTCTATGCGGTGGGTGGTTGAGGCTTGATCGTATCATCCCAGTGGCAATTTATGGAAGTATATAGTATATAGGCCATGAATAATAGTAATAGTAGTAATATACTATCAAATACTATCAAATAATACTATCATTCTCAGAAAGACCCAGAAATTTGATAGATTTTGATAGTATTTGTAGCCCTCTGTTGAAAAAATGTATGGCCCTTTCAAACAATGTGTGTGGTTACATGTGGCTACATTGTTACATTATTCTGGGTAAATTACAATAATCCACTAACCTGAAATAAGGCTCGATTCACTTCGAAAAGAGAGCCCCTCCCCCGGTCGGAACCCAAGGAGGAACTCATGTCCAACGCGCAGGCTTGTCCTTGAAGCAACTCTGTGAAACCTACCTACTTCCTTAGTTCTCCGCTCTAATCTTTCTGACCAGTTTCATCTTCAGCTTAGCTCTGTCTTGTCTGAAAATCCAGGAACCTTGAAAAACAACCTGAAATAAGGCTATCTTGGGGATGTTTCCCCTTACTAACCATCATTTCCAGTGAGGTCGCAGTGAGGTCGTTGTAATGGTCACCAAGGAACGGGTCGGACAAACAGATCGAAGCTGCACCTGGCAAAAGGTCAACTGACGAGGTGCCGAGGATAAGGCATGTCCTGAAACACCCATTTTTGGATAGCATCCCAAGTACTAAGTGACAAATAAGCATAGCATAACCCTCTTGTGTATGGCATATATACCATAGTGATATATAATCTTACCATACAATGTATTGTAATGTTATAGTTATATAGGGCTTATTACGCACTTACCATTCCTGGGATGCACTCCCCTAAGTAGGGGTTTGTTTCAAAATAGGAGTATAATACTGATCTTCAAGGGAATTCATTGGAATTATTGCGCCATCAAGTACCACTTTATAGGAATTGTTCAGGAGATCTAATGGGGATATCATGGAAACACCATGAGGATATCAATAGATATGATGGAGATATCATGGGATTATGAGTTTGTCTGCAGATGGTGGATACCCAAATTTATCGCCATCTAAGAATGGGGAAACCAAGGCTTTGAACTTTGGCACTGGACAGTTTTTTTTTTCAGAGGCCATTTCGGAAACCTCAATTGGAGGTACCTACCATATATGAGGTCTATGTAATGACTATGGAAGGGGATATACCCCAATTTCTATGGCTTCAAAAATGGTACAGCACGTCCAGTGGATCGGTACCAAATCTGCTCAAAAAGTAGGCTTTGCCAATATCCCATATGTTCTGGTTGGTGGTTGACCTACCCCTCTGAAAAATATGAGTTCGTCAGTTGGGAGTATTATTCGCAATATATGGAAAAATAAAATTCATGTTCCAAACCACCAACCTTATGAAGAACTGAGCCAGCTACACATTGGAAATCTTTAAAATATGTTTTTCATTTTTTTATCATTTTGGTTATCATTGCATTCATCATTTTTTTATCATATGTTTTATCATCTTCATTTTTTTTATCACTTCAGGTATCATTTTTTTATCATGTTTTTATCATTTTTTATCATTTTTTTTTATCATTTTTCATCATTTTTTATTCCAGTGGTGCAAAAAAAAAAACAAAAAAATGGAAAATTACAATTTTCCTCGAGTTTTTTTTATCATTTTTTATCATTTTTTTTTATTTTTTTTGCTTCCAGTGGTGGAATTGATGAAAAATGATAAAACATGATAAAAAAATGAAAAAATGATAAAAACATGAAAAAACAATGATAAAAAAATGAAAAAAAATGAAAAAAAAAACGAGGAAAACTGCAATTTTCCTCGAGTTGTTTTCATGTTTTTTTCATTTTTTTCATTTTTTTTTTTAAATCAGTTTTCATCATTTTTGCTTCCAGTGGTGCAAAAAATTTGCAAGAAATGGAAAATTACAATTTTCCTCGATTTTTTTTTTATCATTTTTTTTTCATTTTTTTATATTTTTTTTATTTTTTTTATTTTTTTTGCTTCCAGTGGTGGAATTGATGAAACATGATAAAAAATAATGAATAATGATAAACAAAATGATAAACAAAAGAAAAAAAAATGATAAAAAATGAAAAAAAATAAATAAAAAAAAGCGAGGAAAATTGCACTTTTTCAAAAAATAAAAAAATGCAATTTTCCTCGAGTTTATTTTATTTTTTTTCAGTTTTTTTCATTTTTTATTATTTTTTTTTCATTTTTTATCATTTTTCATCATTTTTGCTTCCAGTGGTGCATTTTTTTTTCCAAGAAATGGAAAATTACAATTTTCCTCGAGTTTTTTTTCATTTTATTATCATTTTTTTTCATTTTTTTATCATTTTTTTATCATTTTTGCTTCCAATGGTGGGATTGATGAAAAATGATAAAAAATGATGAAAAATGATAAAACATGATAAAAACAAAAAAAACAAAATGATTAAAAACATGAAAACAAAAAATATTTAAAAAAAAAAAACGAGGAAAATTGCAATTTTCCAAAAAATGAAAAATTGCAATTTTCCTCGAATTTTCCTCGAGTTTTTTCATCATTTTTTCATTTTTTTCATTTTTCTATCATGTTTTTATCATTTGTTTATCATTGTTTTAACATTTTTGCTTCCAGTGGTGGAATTGATGCAAAATGTTAAAAACTGATGAAAAATGATAAAAAATGAAAAAATGAAAAAAAAAAAATGATAAAACAACTTGAGAGGGGGAACACGAAAGGTAGGTAAGCAAGAAAGGAACCGAAGAAAAAATGAAGGGGAGAGGGGAGGGAAAAATACATAAAGTGGAGTCTGGTAAAAGCGACGCGGCCATTTTCTTTCCAAAAATATGAAGGGGAGTCTGCTAAAAGCGACTGAAAGGCTTCGGCGATGTGGTTGGGGTTGGTGGTGGTTGTGGTGTTGGTGGTGTTGGTGGTGCTGGTGGTGTTGGTGTTGTTGGTGGTGGTAGTGTTTCTGGTGTTGTTAGTGTTGTTAGTGTTGTTAGTGTTGTTGGTGTGGTTGGGTTTGTTGGTGGTGTTGGTGGTGTTGGTGTTGTTGGTCGTGTTGTTGGTGTTGGTATTGTTCGTGTTCGTGTTGTTGTTGTTGTTGCTGTTGTTGTTGCTGTTGTTGTTGTTGCTGTTGTTGTTGCTGTTGTTGCTGCTGCTGCTGTTGATGGTGTTGTTGTTGTTGTTGTGTGTTGTTGTGTGTTGTTGTGTGTTGTTGTGTGTTGTTGTGTGTTGTTGTGTGTTGTTGTGTGTTGTTGTGTGTTGTGGTTGTTGTTGTTGCGTTGTTGCGTTGTTGTGTGTTGCGTGTGTTGTTGTGTGTGTTGTTGTGTGTTGTGGTGTGTTGTTGTGTGTTGTTGTGTGTGTGTGTGTTGTTGTGTGCGGTTGTGTGTTGTTGTGTGTTGTTGTGTGTTGTTGTGTGTTGTTGTGTGTTGTTGTGTGTTGTGGTGTGTTGTGGTGTGTTGTGGTGTGTTGTTGTGTGTTGTTGTGTGTTGTTGTGTCTTGTTGTGTGTTGTTGTGTGTTGTTTTGTGTGTGTGTGTGTTGTGGTGTGTTGTGGTGTGTTGTGGTGTGTTGTTGTGTGTTGTTGTTGTTGTTGTTGTTGTTGTTGCTGCTGCTGGTGTTGTTGTTGTTGTTGTTGTTGTTGTTGTTGTTGTGTGTGTTGTTGTTGTGTGTGTTGTTGTGTGTTGTTGTGTGTTGTTGTGTGTTGTTGTGTGTTGTTGTTGTTGTTGTTGTTGTTGTTGTTGTTGTTGTTGTTGTTGTTGTTGTTTGTTGTTGTTGTTGTTGTTGTTGGTTGTTGTGTGTTGTTGTGTGTTGTTGTGTGTTGTTGTGTGTTGTTGTGTGTTGTTGTGTGTTGTTGTGTGTTGTTGTGTGTTGTTGTGTGTTGTTGTGTGTTGGTGTGTGTTGTTGTGTGTTGTTGTGTGTTGTTGTGTGTTGTTGTGTGTTGTTGTGTGTGTTGTGTGTGTTGTGTGTGTTGTGTGTGTGTGTTGTGTGTTTTGTGTGTTGTGTGTTGTGCGTTGTGCGTTGTGCGTTGTGCGTTGTGCATTGTGCGTTGTGCGTTGTGCATTGTGCGTTGTGTGTTGGTGTTGGTGTTGTTGTTGTTGTTGTCGTCGTTGTTGTTGCTGTTGCTGTTGGTGTTGTTGTTGTTGTTGGTGTTACCCCTGCAGCGTTTTTGCTCGGTTCCGTAGTGGCCGAAAATCGTCAAATCGGTGGTGTTTTCGCGTGTTTTTGCAACTCTCGGAGCAAAAAACACCGTAAATACCAATGTTTTTGGGGGGTCGGAAGCCCAAAACCACGGTATTTACGATGTTTTTTGCCTCTGGTAGTAAAAAGCACGGTATTTACAGTGTCTTTTGGCCAGCACCTGGCAAAAACACTGGTATTTACGGAGGTTTCACCATGTAGCAAAATGTGGTTTCTTGATCCGAAAAGAACAAAAATACTGTAAATTACAATGTTTTGAGTCTGCTCTTAGGGTGCGTGGGAGGTGTGGAGGGGTGGGGTGGGGGGTACTAAAATGACTAGCAATCTCCTGAAGAATCAGGTAACGGGGCTGGCCGCCCTCCCCTTTACTTCGTAAAGTAAAACTCAAGGTAGCCCCTCTGGAGCTACCTTTCGTGAAATGAAAAAACTCGAGGAAAATTGTAATTTTCCATTTCTTGGAGAATTTTTGCACCACTGGAAGCAAAAATGATGAAAAATGATAAAAAAATGAAAAAAAATGAAAAAATGATAAAAATATGATTAAAAACATGATAAAAACATGATACCTGAAATGATAAAAAAAATGAAGATGATAAAATAAATGATAAAACAAATGATGAATGTAATGATAACCAAAATGATAAAAAAATGAAAAAAAACTATTTTGACCTGGCCCAGTCTGTGGCTGCAAGTTTTTCATAACACCAACCAGTCTTAAAATTAGAAAAACACCTATTTTCCTGGGTCAACCAACGTCCATCTGCACCGTTTTTGGCATTCTCCCGCCTCCGAGTTGCTGTAGCTTTGTCCAGCTCATCCTGCCCGGATGGTCACCTAAAAAGGCCGCGTGATCATTTTTTACCATTCACATGGGGGAAATATGAAAATATGATGATTATATATATGGGAAAATATCGGAAACCACATGAGAACATGATGATTTGATTGATCTAAATGTGATCAAGCATGAAATAGTGACTCCGTCATCATTATTTGTTTATGTCTTCAACCTAGAGCCCTATGTCATAACAGCTCAAGAAAAGAATGGACCAGCGACAGCTATATATATAATCGATTTCAAATTCTGAAAAGACCAAGAAAACAATCATTGACAAGATATGGGGGGTGAGGTGGCAGGGTAAAGTGGTGGTTTCAAGAGCGTTTAAGAAACCACTATCTGTTAATTCGTAGTTTAGGCTTTAAACTGGCGTTTCGTGCACCCCTTTGAGCTTGGGGACGGGCGAGTATGTACTCTGACCCACTGGGTGGCCACTTGAAAGAACACCTCACAACTGAAAGGGGTGGATTTCCATGGATTTCTGAATTCTCATGCTCAGGCAGGGCGGAAAGGTTGAGTCTCGCCCAATGTACACAAAGGTATCAGTTCTATATACCCCAATAAACCGACCCATTTTCCGGAAATGGGCACGACGGGTCTTACCATGATTTGAGACACACCAGATTATTTTTTCATTATTACGGTATACCACTTCTTATTCCTACTTATTCATATATATCCCAGTTACCGCAGAGGTTAGTTGATTTCTTTGGAAAATGGATTCTAAGAGGTTTGATGTGGTTTGTTACCAGGATCCAATAATCCAGCATCCAGTATCCAGTTTACTAATCTGTGTACTGATGGACAATAATAGGATTATCCAGGATCAAATTATTGTCCATTGATACATATCAGATGTGAACTGGCTATGGATTCTATCCGAAAAGGTCATGACCCAGACACACACTCCGCACAGACCCATACCCAGTCAACCCAGTCAACCCAGTCAAGCAGCCCATGGTGGCACCGTGTTGAGCGTGGTTCCTCAGGTCAAATTGATCCAAGGTCCATCTTCAACCCCAAACCGTTTGGATTTAGACTAAAAACCCTCCGGTACGTGGCTGGCTGGGAAACCCTTGAACTACATGACTAAATGGAGAGTTCAAGGGGAAAATGATCTACAAATGGTGCATTGGCCGTTGTTATGTTTGATTTCCGGGAGGTAAATATGTAATTCCTATTCATTTGAAGTATTCTAAAACCTGGATTACTGCACCAGGGACTCGGATATGAACCATCTTTAAAGGTATGCTGGTTGTTGGCATAAGCGGCATAAGTCATGTCAGTCAAAGGCCTGGAATTTGGATGACCCATGCACCGACTATGTTGTTTGCCCACACATCGCTTTCTAACCAACTGTTTGCCCAATGTAGGCCGCTGATCTCTATTCATGGAGCGCAAAATCAACGCGCAAATACGGACTCAACCAGTAGGTCAGGATATTGTTTGTCTGTCTGAATAACCATCCCTGAATGATGCAATCAAAATTAAATGAACGGGTTACAAGCACAGTTGCAAACGGGGCGCATCCCACTTAGATGCACTTGTAGTATATAATTGGGCGCTAACATGATATAAGCCACATATTGTAATGGATGCACATTCAAGTACTGCATAGTACCGTAGCGTTTGTCCAATTTAACACAGTCAAGAAACATTACCATCGCGCATTTTCATCAAGAAAATCATCTTGCAGGGACTTGGAAGTGCAGTCCCAGTTTAAAGTGATATAACTTTTATAGATATATGGGGACGGGTCAAAACCCTGGTACCTAGTGAACCCCAAAATAGCTGGTAAATGGATGTTCATCCCACTAAAAATGTATCTATAGGTATTGACTCATAATCATATAATGGCTTATTTATATCCCAACTGATGGGGTTGAGAAAAAATGGCTCAACCTAATAGGAAACCTCAACTGCACCCCCAAGGGCCCCAAGGCGCCAAGATTCGTTGAGGCAAAGATCACACGCTTCACTTTGGCGCGTTCAGCCTGTGAAACGCCAAAGATTCGACGGGCATTCGACGGGCAAAGAACTGGTTGGTAGTTTAGAGTCACCAATCCCAATGAGACAAGTGGTATAGTAATCCCACTTGTTGAATGAAGATGAAACACATGTGGCTACCAAGCAGTTTTTGTCTGTATACTGTATACGTAATATATTCGCAATATTAAGAAATAATAAAAAAAAACCTTAGAAGTGTTTCATTTCTCTCTGGTCCTCAAAAACACAAACGAGTTGAGTAGTTGTGGTAAGTATCGTGACGGTTGAGTCCAGAGTGAAGGGGATGTACAAGGCACTAACACCTAATAATGACGAGTAATGGAAAGGGCAAGTTGTTGCCAACATCTTCAATCACTGATAGTTAGGGTTTTGAAAAATCGCACAACGGACCCTCAAACTAATGTGCAAAAAACATACCTGTTAAGGTAACCCCCGGGAGGTCATACCAGGTATTCTATAAAGATACAACGGTTAGACCTGACCTATTTTAATCAATGTATTTTAAATAAAATCATAATTATAATCCCCAAGGCAAATATTTATTCTATAAAATCTATTTTTGGGGCACAAAATGATGCACAACTCATCCGTAACTCTTGGGCTTCTGTTGAGCCACCTGATTCCGCAATCCGGTGACCAATCTGTGAATATCAAAACTGCTCATGAGGCAGGTGAGGGGCACAAAGTTTATACATGAATATATATATATATAATATTTATACATATGACGGCCATGAACCTCCCTGGGAAATCTAGGGGTTTCAGAATTTGTTTAGGCCAATTGAACATTCCATCCATGCTACACATGACTAATGACCGTTAAAAAAATAATGACCGAAAAAAAAATGGAGATTGTGTTCATTTTCTGCTGCAACAGGATACCTTGTGATTCCTTGTGAAACTATCTTATACTTTTTTGGTATTGGCGTTGGATAGTTTTTGGTTGCAAAGGGGCCAGCATGGGCAAACTTTTATGAAAGATTGTGGGACACCAGTATGTAGAGATATGCAGAGAAATTCAGAGATGTGTGTGAATATATGTCGATACATGTGGATACCAAGAAAAATTGGGGTTTGAGGTGGGAGGCTTGGGCAAGGTGGTGTTCAGGCTTGATTGTGGAATTTGTCAGAATGTGGATGTGGATCTACAAAATGGTGGCGGGTGACCCCATCAGGGTGCAAGGAAATTGGGGTCTTCAAGCAATGGCAATGGCAGGCATGGAGCAACATGTGGCTCTATAAAATGGTGGGGGGTGACCCCGTGAAGGTACCGTAAAACTGTTCACTTTTGTGAAATCCAGCGCAGAGCACATGAAAAAGGCACTGTTAGGATCCGTTAGGTATTTCATGGTATTTCACATGCCTCCAGCAGAACCTAAGAAACTGTTCAAGACCAACAAGATCTAGCAAACCTGAGCAAGCATTTGCACCCATGGCTACTATATACTGATTTCAGTGTTGCAAAGTTGTACATCTACTTGGTCAGTTGCGGCTACAAATGGATACAGCTACAACTGTCCATTTGTTTGGTACACATAAAGGTCTAGAGTCTATAGGTATAGTTTTTCTTTTTAATCACCGACTGCGACACAACTGAGTTTCAATTGCAAAACACACGTGTCAAAGAAGTAATATTCAATTATTTCAGACGCAAATATATTTTTAAGGTTATCCACTCTTAATCTCCACATTTTAAACTATAGTTTGCAAGGAAGTCAAATTTATAGACAGATATCTTTGGAAGGCTGTCCACTCTTAAGTAACCAATTTTAAACTATGGTTCTAGAGGACGTCAAAAACATGCATTCTATAGACAGGTATTTTGGATGGTTGTCCACTTTGGGTCTTACATTCTTCAAAACATCAGTGTCAAGGAGTCACAATCGGGCATTTCATAGACAGAAATCCAGTGAATTCTTGGAACATCAAATCTCCATAAAGTCTACAAATATGACACCCCCCAGAGGATCAGGATAAAAGCAGCGAAAAGCAGTTTTCGTTATAAAATCAGGGCATGACCCCCCGCTTTAGGGTTGTATAAAAGGTTTTATACCTAGCCATGACCCTCAGCATTTTATAACAGGATATGTTACAGTAACAGGTATCAAAAAACTCTATCAATAATCTCGAACAAAAAACAGCCTCACGTAGCCTTTCCATACATTTGCATGCAACACCCCCGAAGGAAAAAACGAAGAACATTCCATCAATCTCAACCAAGTCAGGCAGAATGCAACACGTCATTTGCCCGAAGAAAAGTGCTCTCAGGTGTTAGGACTCATAGAATCCACACTTTGATTCAGTGGACATAGGTTAGCATGTGGTTTGATCATCACAAGCACTCAAGCACTTCTTCCAAAAGGTCAAGACAATCTGCGACAGCACTGCCACAACCTGGTTCAATCACAGACCATACCTCTCAAACACCCTGAGAAGACATGAAAAGACATCTGCAATCCTTCGATGAATCTTTGCGTGCATGTCCATGCACCAGCAAGGCTAGAGCTAGAATCGGACAACCAAAATATCAAGAACAGTCCATTAATCTGAACCAAGTCAGGCAGAATGCAACACGTCATTTGCCCGAAGAGAAGTGCTCTCAGGTGTTAGGACTCATAGAATCCACACTTTGATTCAGTGGACATAGGTTAGCATGTGGTTTGATCATCACAAGCACTCAAGAACTTCTTGCAAAAAAGTCACAACAATCTGCGACAGCACTGACACAACCTGGTTCAATCACAGACCATATCTCTCAAACACCCTGAGAAGACATGAAAAGACATCTGCAATCTTTCGATGAATCTTTGCGTGCATGTCCATGCACCAGCGCGGCTATATATACGTATATTACGTATATTTAACTAGAAAAGGACAACACCAATTTCAAGAACAGTCCATCAATCTGAACCAAGTCAGGCAGAATGCAACACGTAATTTGCCCGCAGAAAAGTGCTCTCAGGTGTTAGGACTCATAGAATCCACACTTTGATTCAGTGGACATAGGTTAGCATGTGGTTTGATCATCACAAGCACTCAAGCATTTCTATCCAAAACGTCAAGACAATCTGCGGCAGCAGTGCCACAACCTGGTTCAATCACAGACCATATCTCTCAAACACCCTGAGAAGACATGAAAAGACATCTGCAATCCTTACAGTAAATGAATCTTCGCCTGCATGTCCATGCACCAGCAAGGCTAGAGCTAGAATCGGACAACACCAATTTCAAGAACAGTCCATCAATCTGAACCAAGTCAGGCAGAATGCAACACGTAATTTGCCCGAAGAAAAGTGCTCTCAGGTGTTAGGACTCATAGAATCCACACTTTGATTCAGTGGACATAGGTTAGCATGTGGTTTGATCATCACAAGCACTCAAGCACTTCTTGCAAAAAAGTCACAACAATCTGCGACAGCACTGACACAACCTGGTTCAATCACAGACCATATCTCTCAAACACCCTGAGAAGACATGAAAAGACATCTGCAATCCTTCGATGAATCTTTGCGTGCATGTCCATGCACCAGCAAGGCTAGAGCTAGAATCGGACAACCAAAATATCAAGAACAGTCCATCCATCTGAACCAAATCAGGCAGAATGCAACACGTCATTTGCCCGAAGAGAAGTGCTCTCAGGTGTTAGGACTCATAGAATCCACACTTTGATTCAGTGGACATAGGTTAGCATGTGGTTTGATCATCACAAGCACTCAAGCACTTCTATCCAAAACGTCAAGACAATCTGCGACAGCACTGCCACAACCTGGTTCAATCACAGACCATATCTCTCAAACACCCTGAGAAGACATGAAAAGACATCTGCAATCCTTACAGTAAATGAATCTTCGCCTGCATGTCCATGCACCAGCAAGGCTAGAGCTAGAATCGGACAACATCAATTTCAAGAACAGTCCATCAATCTGAACCAAGTCAGGCAGAATGCAACACGTCATTTGCCCGAAGAAAAGTGCTCTCAGGTGTTAGGACTCATAGAATCCACACTTTGATTCAGTGGACATAGGTTAGCATGTGGTTTGATCATCACAAGCACTCAAGCACTTCTTCCAAAATGTCAAGACCATTTGCGACAGCAATCAAAGGCATCTTTTGATAGTTTGTTTGCGCAGTTGAGTTTCCTTGAAACCCCGCATTTGACAAGATGTCAGAGCATACAGTACAAAATAAATGATTAATCATCATGTTGCATCTAACAATTGCTATTTTTGAAATAACCCTATTTTCAAACAAACCAATCCACATGTTCTACCAGTCCCTGGCCAGGCCTCTTTGAGCAGGTGGAAGGTTGCCTGAACGGCTGGTGAAATTCGACTGGAAAGAGATTCTATGAGTATAGATACAAATATCATACATACTTGTGTAACACTAAATATATATTATTCTATATTATATATATATGACTATTAGTCGTTGATACTGCATTATACTACCAATTAAACATTACTGACTGGAAAAACAAACATTAAGACAGAAACACCATTGATGATTATTCAGCCACGGCAATGATGACATCGGGCCCAGGCCGCATCCCATCAACCGGGTCTCAGCAGGTCATCAACTTGCGAGGGCTAACCATGCCAGAAACCGAAGTCGAAATCAAAATCTCCAGGTTTATGATTCACCAAGGTATATCTTAGGGATTTCTTGTAAAAAAAAACATGTTATTATTTAGATTAATGGGGATACCCTTAATGTTATATATTTTATATGGCTATAATGTTCCCTGTATCCCCATTCTTTGCCGATGCGCCTGGATATTGCTTGGTAGAACATCTGCCATGAAATCGGCCGATGGCCTGGAACTCGTTCCGGTTCCGTCGCGTTTTGAAAAAAACACAGTTAATGGGCGATCTAAGCAACCAAAATTGGGTGTCATAAGTTATACATGAGAATTTCGTATATTTTAGTATACTCTTTCACCAAAAAGCAGGGGGCATACTGTTGTTTTTACATGGAGCATGTTTGATCAACTCAATAGAACATATTTGGGTTTGTCTGAAATTAGAAATTAGGGTATCCCTCCAGTTTATGCCCCAAGGTGCCATGGGAAAAGGAGGATCAATCCATATCAATCTCATGGATTTGGGGGGCAATTTTCAGACAGTTAGCCACCAGTGAAACAGATTGGCTGCGGTGAACACCTGGCACTACCTCCAATCATAGCCATTTCATAGGGAAAATATGATGATTGACCATTGGGTTTAGGGCTACGCTGTCGCTATATATTCAAACCAAGCCATAAAATCACTACTTACCTGGTTTGTGAATGACCCCCCTGAAACTTCAGCAGTCAATTGTGGAGGAAATCATTCCAGATACGGATGAACACTTCTTCTAGAAACATGAAACCAGTTGAGTTTGGGGTAAAGCCAGTGAACATGTCCAGATTCTTGGAAGCCACTTTGTAGCCCCCAAAAAATGTGTAACAATGGCCATGGCCATTTCCAGGTGTGGCGTGAGCTTGACCAAACCTATGGGTGATGTTCAGTCCCGACATAGGATGTAGCCCAAAACCTTGTTTTGTTTGGGATATAACTTTGATATATAAAGGTCTGTGTAATGTATAACCAACAAACAAATAACCAACAAACAAATGATATGGGTTTGTCCTAAATTGGGAGGTAGTGGTGGCCAATTCAATGGAGAAATTAGGTCCAAAACCAATAGATTGTGTGGTACAGTAACCACCAAAAACAATGCAAAAAAAAACGTTCAATTTACCACTGACATGTCAGCTAGTTTTTGCTTTTGCAGCATCTGTTTGGTGGTTGCTATCCCATACTTTTGGACAAAGCCAAATGTGGTTATTTGTCGCTTACATATGTCTCCTACGTGTGTATATATACATATAACATAATATAGATATATATATATATACTGTACGCATAAATATTAATATACACACACGTATATCCATCCCACAAGAATATCCCTATTGTATCTCAATGATATTCCCATTATTGTTGGAAAATCATCAATGTTCCAGCATTTTCTTGCTGAATCAACATGCATGTGCAATCTTTTGGGATGGTATAAGCCCAGAAAATTATTGGTTTATAGTTCAAAAAAAACTATTTTTGATGGTTGGATCTTGTCACTGCCCCATCCCCAAGGTTTTTTCTGGCCACTCGCCTCCCATCAGCAGCCAGGTGAATCACACTCTGGCAGCCTTCCAAGACTCCGGTCATGGATCCCTGCGCGAAACCGTGGAGAAGTTCCATAATCCGCCATAATCAAAATGGGATATGACTAGGATTTATAGGGATATAATGGGGATATTAATAATGGGGATATAATGGGGATATAGGGATATAATGGGGATACCCTTCGGTACTCAACCATGGCCAGCTGGAAAATCCCCCCGCTAGAGGTTTCGAGCTGGGAAGCTCATCTACAGGCCCGGGCGATTTTCCAGCCATGTTGGGGTAGAGGATACATGGGGATGTACCCGCACCCCCTTTGGGGGCCCCAAAGGGCCCAAGAATGGCATGACGGGGAGTTCACAATGATTCACCATGAAAAAAAATTGGGGTACCAAATTTCCAGACAAACCCTGGGGATATCATGTGGATGTGGGGGTAGAATGGGTGTAGAATGAGGATACAAAGGGGATAAAACCAAGAATCGTAGCCCCAACAAATGAGGGATTAATGGTATGGATTTTATTTGGGGTCCCATGTCATGGGAATATCATTCGGATTTGTCACAATCAATATGATATTCTGGGTTTCAAAGTCGGCAACCCCACCAGATCCCACCATTTGACGGTAGTTAGTATATCTGGAACCATGGATTTTGGCGACGTGTGTCATGTTTTTCCAGAGGAGGACTGTCCTGGATGTGGGATAAATACATACGAGTATGGATAATGACAATCCATAACCAACTATATCCCTCCATTTCTCAAATTAATTTTGGGGAAATCAGACCCAGAAGGTTTTTTTTTTCGGTTTCACATAGTACCATAGTTTAACACCTGCATTTGTTTCTATTGCTTCATGTTTTTTTCTTCCCGCCGGCGCAAGGCCCTGGCTTTATATAAACCTCAGCCTGAATTTGTGATTTAAGCAGACACTACTTTCGCACAACAACTACTATCGCTGTACGCACATGCGCGGAAATAAACCTAGTTGCTCTGATAGGGATAGAATGATGATATGTAATGGACCATGGGGAAAGAAGAAATTCAGAAAGCTACAAAGGATGGATTTGAATTTATATAAAGCACAAATTCAGAAACGCCATGCCTCATCATGCTCCAAATGATTATATAAGTCCTAAATGAAACGATTGTTTCTGGCCTCTTCGTTGTCTATGCATGTCTATGCTAAGTGACCTCTAGGAAAGGTTCACTGAAAGAAAATCGCAAAAGAGGCCACTTAGATTAGATTCCCTGTGCAGGAATTCGGCCACTGAAGAATCCTCTGAACTGTACTTCATCCATTTGGACATGTTAGATGCTATTAGATTATGTTTCTATATCATGTTGACATATATATATATATATTATTTCTATAATGATTCAATGTCAGTCATAGTTATTCTATATTATTCTCTGTTTCTTGATGTTACTTGTGGCTAAACATATTCCCTGTAAACAGGACTTCTAGCAACGTTAGCTGATCCAGCCAAAGCAGCCCACACCAATCTCAATCAGCGGATCCCACCTATGGCCAGCTGGAAAATTGCCTATTTATAGATAGTTTACCCATGAAAAATGATGATTTTCCATGGCTATGTTTAAAAAAAAATACATATGGTAAAATACTTCACTAAGCTGAAAAGTTCGGCTATCTTGGGGATGATTCCCCGAATCCTAAACATGATCATAGTGAGGTCGCAGTGAGGTCGTTATGAATCTTTCGTCCATCCCATGGCCAACAGATTTTGTCCTGGAAAACCACATCCCCATTTAGTTGGTTTCCATAGTCATAGGGGTACCCCAATAGCTGGATGGTTTATAATGGAAAATCCCAATTGAACATGGATGATGACTGGGGGTACCTCCATTTTAGGAAACCTCCATATAGATGTTTATCTAAACTCCAAGGAACCCAAGGAGTCCCCATCTCACCTTATGGCACATGGGGTTGTCTAAAAAATTAAAACCCGCTTCCATCCTGCAATATTCATCATCATGTTCATTTTGTGAAACTGCCATTCGGGGAATCCACCAATTTGAGACATACGGTGCCCCCATCTGCATCTAGGTATGTCGTGACATCTGGGTATCTCACTCAAAAACATATCCTAAAAGACAGTAATTACACCCCCAAAGAAAAATGGATAGACTATACTATACTACAATAACATTAAACAAAAATGTATACAATATTGAAATATGCACCCCATCAAAAGAATGCACAAAAGTAAAATCCAATTCCAAAAAATAGTAGTAAATCACCTTTTCTATCCTCTTCTATACTTTTCTATCTTGTTGGGGCCAACAAAAACCCAACCATGCAACAACATCCAAGGTTTTCTCCACCCACGCCTCACAACTCATATCTTCAATGACCACGTCCACTTTGGAAGAATCCGCCACACGGGCGGCTGACGACGTGGCGTCTTGCAGTGCAATTCCAGTGATAATTTGGAAGTAAATAAGTACCTAGGCCCTCCAAATTTCTCCCAAAAAATGGGGAAAAGTATTAAGATTATGGGATAAACACACCATTTTTATGGGTAGGGGGTCTAACTTATACATGTTGTATAGTCATTTGATCATGTGAATTCGACCAAACCTCCAGGTGACTATAGCTATATATTAGACATGTGGTAAACCTCATATTTATCGTTATTTGGGGGATGGATGATTGTATTTGTTCAAACACATTATTCCAACTGAGGTGGCAAAGAACCCCCTATAAATTTGCTACTACCGTTTTGATCTTATCGTTGTTTCTCTTCCTTATCGTCTTAGAGTGAATGGGCCATATCCAGTACGAGATTTAAAGGACGGAGGTTTTTATTGCGTCCTCAACTGTACAGCACTATTTCATGGAACCAGAACAGAAATTCATGTAGCAATGTGATATGAATCTAACATATTCGAACATATCTCATCATATCAATCAGGAACATTATTGTCCAATAATGTGGTAACTTCAGTCATTCACAAATACAACATGTTACCACATGTTACCATTTGGGGATTTTAATATTCACCACCCACTCAATTTTATGGCTCCACGGTCATCCCTTCCCCTATGGTAGTATGACACTGGTTTTTTTTGGGCGACCATGAGGGGATGACCAAAGATATTTGCTATCTGGTTGGTGGTTGACCTATCCCTCTGAAAAATATGAGTCAGTTGGGATGATGACATTCCCAATATATTGGGAAAAAAAATCATGTTCCAAACCACCAACCAGCTATTGACAATGGCCCAGTCGAAATAGTGGATTTTCCCATCTATATTAAATAGCATGGTGGGTGGATCTTCCAGTTCGTTCTGTAAACGTTTACCAGGCCGGGTATGTTCATCTGGTGGAATGTATTGGATTGGATTTGGGGGAAGGGATGGGATCATGGTAGAAGTTATATCCCCCTGGTTTTCCACACGTGTTGGTAAATCATGTTCCTTGCGAAACCATATGGGCTTTCCATATTAGTATGCTACAAACATATCCCAGTCACCCTCCCCGTTTTCAATGTTTTCGATGCTTAAAGTCCCTAAATTGTGATGGTCGGAAGATAACTACGTTTCTTTGGTCTCCATCGTTACTTATTGGTTTCAGTAACCCCAGGGGTAGACCGTCCTGCAACACGTGGGCCACCCTGGCATTTGGGCTGGGCCTGTGGCGCCGATGGAGGATTTATCAAAGATTTGGACCTTCGGTGGGGCCACAAAGATAGGTAAGTTGCTTTGTCACTAGCATAACTGGGGTTAATGATACTTATAACTAGAGTTAATACAGTTGGATGGATTCATTTGGATTTATCTGATATTTGCATGGTATTGTAGGTGAATCAGTATGTAGAATGCTTGAATGAATTTGGGGTTATCTGAGAATAAGGCACCCAGGCACCCCTGACCAGATAAATGGGGTAAGGAAGGTTTTCAACCATTGGATTTACTGTAGATGTACTGGACTGTACCTAGTATTCATACTTTCAAACTTTATGTTGACCCTCCGCCAATCAAACATGGCAATTGAAAATCCCCTGTACATGGAGGTTTTATGGGAACATCATCTAACATCTATCAGTATCAATGAAGGATTTTCCGTTGCCATGTTTGATTACTGGAGAGTAATACTTGATAAGTATTGACAAATCATGTCAATAAGCATGCGCTGTAGGTCAAAAACATCAGACTGCATGGTCTGAAAAAAATGGCATGGCATTTATATCCGGTGACAAACATCAGGGATACGGATATACAATCGACACCAGCATCACATCACCACAACATTTTGAACATGTTGAACCTAGATATGCGAAAAATTGCATCAAAAACATTGACAACTATTTCAAAATCATACATGCAAATATCATATCTATAGCTGTCTTAAGGACAAACAAAACCGTCGCCTAAAACTACCATCACCATTGACACATTGGTTGCTTCCAGCAGCTTTTCGTAGGGCCACCCGACTAAGTCGATGCCGCGCACTTCGTAGCCCAAAGCCTGGAGCCAGTGAGAAACATGATATGGATACATTGTAGATATATGGCAATTTAAAAAGTCTTCTACACAAAAACTGCTGCACGCAGAAAACTTTTGCACAGAGAAAGTTTTAGACACAGATGCGTTTACACAGAAAAGTGTTCACACACACAAAGAAATACAAACAGATATTTTTTATAATTATACACATGGGATGGGAACCTTTTACACAGAGATTGTCTTACAGACATTTTTTTTCAGTCACAGGGTCCCTTGTACGCACAGAAGGGCACTGGAATGCACAAAGCACTTCCCAGCACCACTTTGTACTACAAGCCTTGCACAAAGAACTTACCAGTATATATTACTTTGTACGACAAAGCTTGCACACAGTACTTCTCAGTACTACTTTGTACTACAAAGCTGGCACAAAGCACGCCCCAGTACTACTTTGATCTACTTTGTACTACAAAACTTGCACAGAGCCCTTCCTTGTACTACTTTGTACTACAAAGTTTGCACGAAGCGCTTCCCAGTACGACTTTGTACTACAAAGCTTGCACAACGCTCTTCCCAGTACTTTGTACTACGAAGGTTGCGCAACGTACTTCCCATGCAGTACTACTTTGTACTACAAAGCTTGCACGCAGTACTTCGTACTACTTTGTACGACAAGACTTGCGCAAAGTACTTTCCAGTAATACTTGGTTCTGCAAGACATGCACAAAGTCACAAAGTACTTCCCAGTACTACTTCGTACTAGAAGACATGCATGCATAAAGTACTTCCCAGTACTACTTTGCACGGCAAGCCTTGCACAAACTACTTACCAGTACTACTTCGTACTGCAAGAGATGCACAAGCGACTCTAATACTTCGTACTACAATGCGCAAAGAACGTCCCAGTACTACGTCGTACAAGACATGCGGTACATTTAGGTTTTTTTTTACGGTTTCCTTTGGGGTTTCTCTACAGTTTCTGGTTTTTAAGGTTTGTTTATGTTTTTTTTGGGTGGCGGTATTGTTCATGGTTTCCCTGAAATGTTTTTCAGGCTTCTGGAAAAAATAGACGTTGATTAGGGGTCAAAAAAAGTTCAAAGGCTGAAAAAAACACCCAGGGGTCCAAAAGCAAGGGCCCAGTTTGATTTTGACGCCAACATATTCTGGTATCATTCACAACCCTGCTACCCTGGTGAACACCAAAATAGCAGGTAGTCAGTCATGGACACTCATCCTGCGATGGTCCAAAAGGTATCGGCCCACCTCCAAATAATTTAGCTTTGCAATTATATAAATAATTTACTGATGAGTTCTATAATGTTCTAACTTGGTCATGGGAAATCGCCAGTCTATATCGACAAAATGGCTTTCGGCACTAGGGTTTTGCCATGGACAATGACAAAATACGCTGGAAAAAAAATCATTTCTATGTTTCCAGTTTTATTGCCTCCAAAACTGTTGTCATTTTGTGGTCATGGTTGTCTGCGAGTAACCATGTGTGACTTTTCAGGAGGTCTTGGGATTTTTGATTATTTATGGTATACCCTGAGCATCGAATATTGAACTTAATCAATTTGTTCACAACTTTGTTCAAGTGATTTTTTGTAGATTGATTCGAATGTTTTTTTCAAAAAGCATCAGGTTGGAAACATGTTTTACAGATTGATTTGTAGATTGAACTGCAGTTTGGTTTCTGCATTCAAAAACCTACTAAATTTGAATCGTTTTTTTGCTTTCTAGATTGATATTTTTTTCTGGGTTTTAGCCGGTTTTAGCTTCCATTCCAAGGGTCCAGAGGTTGTTCTGGTAGAACTGTCAAACACTGCAGCCATTTCTTTTCCAGAAATCCAATTTGACTTTCGCCAAAATCCTTTACAAAAGGACCTTCAGAAATCCTTGTGAAGGGGGAAACCTTGTGAAAGGGGATGCCATCCAGAGATTCGCTCCCGACTGTTTCCGACTGTTTCAGTTTCTCTGGAGGGCCAGTTTTATTTGTGGACCACTGCTCCAACAAAAATCACAGCATTCAACACTTTTCCTCGCGACCCTTCTGTTGGCAGGTTGCTCGACATGATGCATTTTGACTTTGAAACCCAATATACCCCAAAAAATCTAAAATCCCAAGACCTTGTGAAATTTAAAATAAGCATGTAGCAAAGATGCAAGTAAATTGATGTAGATAAATATAGTGGAAATGTAGGCGTGTCACTCCTCTGATTGAACATCGCTAAACGATGGAGGGCGCACTGTCCAAAGCCTAGATATCTATTCGCTTGATGCTAACGGTTCACATCTGGGAACCAAATTGAAGAACCAGGTGCTGCACTCAGTGGATCCTTAGGGTTTCCTTGGTCGGAAATTCATCAAACCTGTGGACATGGACCCGTGGATGCTTGATCACCGGATGACAACTAGACAGCAAACAATCATTTTTGAAAGGCCCTATTCTGGACCTACCACGACATCAATTGTTTGTTGCCGTATTTTTGACAATTTTTTCATTTTACTGTATACCCAAATCTGGCTGGATTGAATTGCAAAGGCCCTCCAAGTTCCAACCATTACCGGGATTCACACATGGGTTGTGTTGACAGCGTAGTCAATGCATCAAATCCAGTTGTTCACAGTTTGCGAATCTCAACGATAATCCCAAATGCGACTCAAGACATTGTGGCTCGCTGGCTTTTGATTCCTCAACGACTCCCCTGCGCCTCACATTCTGCACGTGCCAGCTGACCCAAGAAACCTCCAGCGCCAGTAATGGCCACACGTCCTCGCCCGCGCAATGTCCAAATGTCGGTGTGGGGGGGCGGGAAGGTCAAATTCAGTGTACAACACTATCAAGTGGTCAAACTTGTTGTTTCCACATTTTGTCTCATTTTTCAGCCAATGACATGTCCATGATTAAAGGCAGCAACGTGGCCGGTCAAAATAAGGAAGCTGCGCCCAAATGGTAAAAAATGGTTCGATGGACGCATTTCATGTTTGAACGTGTTTCTGCTTCGGTGTTCTTTCATGAAAAATGTATGTATGTATGTATGTATATATATATATATATATATGTTTGTGTATGTATGTGTATGTATGTGTATGTATGTGTATGTATGTGTATGTATGTGTATGTGTGTGCATGTGTGTGTATGTATGTGTATGTATGTGTATGTATGTGTATGTATGTGTATGTATGTGTATGTATGTGTATGTATGTGTATGTATGCGTATGTATGTGTATGTATGCGTATGTATGTGTATGTATGTGTATGTATGTGTATGTATGTGTATGTATGTGTATGTATGTGTATGTATGTGTATGTATGTGTATGTATGTGTATGTGTATATATGTGTATGTATGTGTATGTATGTGTATGTATGTGTATGTATGTGTATGTATATGTATGTGTATGTATATGTATGTATGTATGTATGTGTATGTATGTGTATGTATGTGTATGTATGTGTATGTATGTGTATGTATGTGTATGTATGTGTATGTATGTGTATGTATGTGTATGTATGTGTATGTATGTGTATGTATGTGTAGGTATGTGTATGTATGTGTATGTATGTGTATGTATGTGTATGTATGTGTATGTATGTGTATGTATGTGTATGTATGTGTATGTATGTATGTATGTATGCATGTATGTATGTATGTATGTGTATGTATGTATGTATGTATGTATGTATGTATGCATTTGCATACGCATATGTTTTTATCAGCAAAGGCATGTAAATGTTTTTGTTCTTTATGTTCTACTGATTCTACTCCATTTGCACAAGTCACGGAGTTTAAATCGATAATCTCTACCCCATGGTTGTGTTTCGTTGGCTGCACATTTGCCCAGCCATGCGAACATGATGGTGCATTTGGCACAAAATATTCTGCACTTAAACAAACCCTTGCTCAAATGCTGCTCCCAGGAACATACCAGTTTCTGCACTGGCCTAGATCAGCAATGATTTGCGATCATGAAAAACGGAAACGCTGGCTTGAAGGACAACAGCAAGATCCAGACTAGTTTGCGTGATTGATGTGCCTGGTGCGTGAAAAGACTGGCGTCGTTGACGATTATATCTGACAAAACAAAAAAGGCGCTGTAAAGCTAATCGGCTGACTGAACATGACAGAACAACAGCAGGCCCCGCTCTTACAAAGTGCAGCGCCCGAAGGAAAACACGCGCCATCTGGCGCATGCTTGATTCTGACGAGCCGTGCGAGTGCCGAGCTTAGACTTGCTGGGAAGCCCCTCTGCCTATCGCCGTCTTCCCTGGCGAAATTCAAGGCGCATGTGAATGCGGCAAAGGCTTGCATGCTGAGCGTTTAGGCCTTTTTCAGGTTCTATGCGCATGATCGTTTTTGAACTGAGTTTCTGTCTATCTTGAAATGTTTGTCTGCATTTATCTTAATTATTTCGTTGTCTATCTTTGTTTCCTGCTATTTTAAAGCATTGTTGTGAAATTATGTGTATATATATATATACGTGTGTATATATATACGTGTATATATATATATTGATGTGTTCTTTAATAGAGATTGCTTTCTCTTTTTTATAGTCAAGTCATGTCTGTGTCTTGTTGTTGTTTATTTTCTTCTGGGCATATCCTTATTGACGTCTTTCCTTTTTGATATCTTTGTTGCCTGAAAAAGTGCTTTCCCACTTTCTTTCCTTATTCGGCCTTATTCCTTCCTTTCTTTCTTTATTTCCGTCCTTTTTCCCTTTCTTTCCTGCTCTACTTCTATTTTGTTCCCTTTTGCATTTGTTTTGCTTTGTTTTGTCTTTGATTCATTTGTCCCTTGTAGAGTTTGAGTCTGAGTTTCTACCCCGAAACAGATGCAGCAGAAACAAGAACTAGCTGAGGTTTCAATGTTAAATTAAACCCATTGTTTTTGGCGGCTACTGTACCACAAAATCTAACGGTTTTGGACCTCATTTTCCCATTGAATTGGCCACCGCTATCTCCCAATTTAGGACAAACCCACATCATTTGTTTGTTGGCTATACGGCTATACATTCAGCTCCCAAGTCATCAGCCGAAAAAGGTATGAAAAAAAAGGCTTCGCAAGGTCCCAAGTCATCAGAACCTAGTATACAGCTGATTTGCCACCAATGACCTAGTTCAAGTGATAGACTTCCGTCTTACTTGTGCACCTAGACTATAAATGATCGTTGCACACAAGTGCGAAGCAAAGAAGACAAGTCATAGCCCTTAAAGCATACCCGTTCATTGTCCCTCTGCTGTAAATAGAAACCCAAGGAAGGTTTAGATTTACTCTCCCGAAAACTAACATTTTACAGAAGAAGTAGACACATAAAAGCGGGTTCCATGTTAAGGTCCAATATGTTGATTGAATATATATATATATATTATGAGTGGGATATGTGCTCTATATGTTTTGAGCCTTGAACGTAACATGATGAATTTACCGATAAAAAATGGTGATTCTCAATAGTTATATGTCTGTCAGAGAGTAATACAAGTGGAATGTCCGGAATGTCCCCTTTCTTTGCCCCAAGTGTTGTTGAAAAAGCTAGGGCGGTAGCCTCAACAATAAACCATCCACTTGGTCGGCCCGGAACATCACCGTTGGTAAATCATCGAACTATAAATGGGCATTTTTTTAGCAAACTGTCAGAGCTTAAAACCGTTAAAACCCATTTGAAATCACTGTTATATCATATCTTCATATCCCAATTATTCACAATTACTATATACATCTCATGTCCCAATTATCACAATTAATATCCCAAGTATTACTGTATCCATCTGTATCCCAAAAAATATCCCAATGATGTAGGCACGACGCAGTTGGCTGTCCCAGGATCCTTGATAAGGCGCTGCCATCGCTCAAAATTTCAACGAAGATCCCACCGGGTCCCGGTCCCGCGAAAGACTTGGGGACAACGAAATAACTCATCTAAGTTGGTTTATATATATATATATAACTCCAATTATAGGTGGTATATCTATAGTATTCTATAGTATACCCAAAAAGAAATAAACTAGAAATTGAAGATGATTTAGTAGTGATCCACCCTGATTTGGAGTGTTGGCATAGCATGCTTTGACGTGATCTACATGGCCAAGGAATGGGATCGGGGGAAGATCGGGAAAATCTTGCACCGTTCCTCCGAGCTAAATAACCCACCTGGTATTCACGAAGATTTACCCTCTGGTTATTTAACAGTTTGCCATGGAAAATCACCATGCTATTAATAGATAAACCTCTAAATTTCTATGGGCCATCGAAAAACCATGGCAAACTGTTAGTCATAACCAGAGGGTACCTTCCTATCATGGCAATGTGGCAATGTCATGGCCAGCTCTGAACTGCAAAGGCTGAACGTTGCTGCTTTTGAACGTTGGATATCGAATGAGATTGGTATCCCACATGTGATCTACTGTAACATTTTCTTGGACCACAGATCAGCTTGAAATCTGTTTCTGATCTGTTGCGATTGGCTGATGCATTGAGATCGGCAAAACTGCGGCAATCGGCACACCAAGTCCATCCTACACATTGCATGTATGCCATCTGTACCAAGATTGATCTGAAAAAAACAAACAAACAAATACATATACATATGTTTATCTGCAAAAAAAAATCTATGTTTTCTATATCTAGTATATATCTATATCTAAAACTCTATCTCTATCTATATCTATCTATATCTATCTATATCTATCTATATCTATCTATATCTATCTATATCTATCTATCTATCTATATCTATCTAAGAGATAGTCTATCTATATCTATCTATCTATATCTATCTATATCTATCTATATCTATCTATATCTATCTATATCTATCTATATCTATCTATATCTATCTATATCTATCTATATCTATCTATATCTATCTATATCTATATATCTATCTATATCTATCTATATCTATCTATATCTATCTATATCTATCTATATCTATCTATATCTATCTATATCTATCTATATCTATCTATATCTATCTATATCTATCTATCTATCTATCTATCTATCTATGTATCTATATATCTATCTATCTATCTATCTATCTATCTATATCTATCTATCTATCTATTTATCTATCTATCTATCTATCTATCTAAATCTATTACATTACAATTATAATTATATTATAATTATATAGCACCAAAAAAGACATATGGATACATATGGCCAATACCTTCCAGTTGGAATAAGTTAGTGGATCCTGACAGGACATGGACAATGCAAGCAGAATCCATGGTAGTAGCCTGCTGATCAGCTTGGACTTCTGGATCTTCATCCCTGCAAATTATGGTAGTTGATAGGGTTTAAATCCATCCCCAGATATGAAATTCCCAACCCAATAGACATCCAAACCATGGAACATTGTCTTGGATGAAACATGTGGCAGTCACCAATCAGTCACCAAACAGTCACCAATGTAAGTTCTAATTGTTCAAGTTGGTCCTTCACCAAAGTAAAAGACGGATGAGGTAGTTCGCCAACTCTTAAATCCACTCACACAAAGTATAGAAAAGTAGAGCAGTATATAGCAGCAACATGCCATTATCCGATAGAGAAGTACATATCACTATCTTAGTCAGATTTTACTTTTCAAAATGGTTTTATCTTTTTGGGGGGTTGCTATACGTTGAATCTGACAGCTCCCCCGACCCTGGATCCATCTGGATTCGCTCTCCTTGTATTCCTGGCTGCGACCAGAGGTAGACATGGCTAGACCGGATACCATTGAATGATAGGGAAAACTGATGGTAAACCAGAAAATCATAGAAACCCAAGGGATTTGAATGTTTTGGCTGTCCAATAGTTTTCACTCAAACACACAAATGGAGATGTGCCTTTTAGACATTGTGAATTCGGCGGGAAAGGAACTTAGTCTTTGGACATGGAGAAATACGCTCAGACCCAAGGCCAAGCAAGCTTAGATCATCCACTGATATGTCAAACCCAATAGTTGTCCCAATCAATATTTAAGTGTTATTAAAAACTTCACACGCCAAACAACGACCATTTGGGCATTGTTGATGACTGGGTTCAATGGCTCTGCAATATCAGAGCGTGAAAAAAAGACAAAGGGAAAGGTGTTTTAAGCCTGAACATAATTAATTATTTTACCCCAACAAAATGGTCTTTCCAAATGCTATGGGTACGTCGAGGGCCAGGACACGGGGGGTGGTGGGACTCCATCCGTCTTGAATGTTGACCAAATAGACAGTGAAATGCAAGGGAAATTGAGAAATAAAGGTGAATTAAACCCGGGGTGCATATAACATTCGGCGTGCAAATATTTAGTTCCAATGTGTTGTTTCTCCCAATCACACAAAGACACCTTTGATGCTTGGAATCAAAAATAATCAACCATCGGTTTCCCTTATCAAAACTAGGCGAGTAACCGCCGTTTTTGGACCAAAGTGCATCGTTCACGCACAAGAACAAAGTGGGAACATTTGGGAACTGCCCTGGAAATTAGCATGTAACAATTTGTGGTTTCACATTCCCAAGAATAACTGTTTTAAATGGCACTATCTCGGAACCATGGATTGACAATGGGGATACATGGGTATCTCCAGATTCAAAACATCATAACAGTCCCAAGTGACCTCTCAAGCAAATGAGTCTCAATCAACTGAACAACTCTCAAATCATATCAACATCACTTTATACTTTCAGCTTTACTAAACAAATCTATCACAAAGGCGCCGGTTGTCTGGTCCTCGGTGTTTTGGAAGAGCGGCCCTGACAAACACGCCAGGAGGCAGCCCAACACCTGCCGACACCCCGTTGTATCTGCTGAGAACAAACCCTGCCCCGTCGTCTTGATTCTATGTCTCTCTTTGCTCAAACAACGTTGTGTTTTGGCCGTTTTGGCCTATGTTCCTTTTTGTACTTTCGAAGTTACCAATGTTCCATCTCCAATGGCTCTAATGCAACTGGATGAGGACAAAACATCTTTGCCCCAAACACAGAGGACAACAACAATGTTCGTGTTTGTTGGCAATCCCGCCATCCGCTTTTTAAACACCACCCCAGAAACCAATGGTTTATTACGGGATTTACATATTATTTGAGACCATACAAGGGGGTGTTTAATATTGGAGGGATGGGATTCGAACAGACTTTTGTAGCATTCAAAAAACATGTTGTTATATAATTTGAAATTCCATGGATTTGGTGCGTTCTATTTGCCCCGTGAAGTTTTCCTCTCTCAACATCAGCATTACCTACACGTGGGCCACTTCAACCACCATCTCAAGTAATGTTTGACCACCTCAAACATTGTTGTATACATACACTTTGAATGTCTTGGAGTCTTAGATGTCAATGATTTTTCACCAGTAGTCTATTTTTTCCCATCCACACCGCCAACAACAGCATAACTACTGTGGTAAACCCAATAATGAACCATCCCTAAAATCACAGAAAAAAATGGTGGTATGTTTACCATCCCCAAATGATCGGTTTATATAATATATTGGGTTTACCATGGTTTATCAAACTTCTCAAGGCCCCTATAGAGAAGTCGACCAATACGGTGCCGCAACGACGCCAAGGTGGACGCCGCACGCCTCCGTTCTCGCTTTCATGAAGGGTGCCGCTGGCATGGCCGTCAACTTGTCCTACAACGCAGCGTTGGAGGCAGTTCCCATCATTGCCAGGGCTCATTTTTTTTGGAACCAATGGACAAAGTGAGAAAATGTGGTATCAAACCATCCATGAGGACAAATTCAACAACCTATATCCGAATTCAATATTTGATTCGTTTCATCCCCAATATTGTTGCTGGTCAAAGTCCTACATGATAGCATATCATTGGCATACCCATGTGGGACGCCCGCACACTTAATATATTTAACATCCAGGTAGCTAGCAACACCTACCTCAAGAAAAACATGGCCCCATAGAGTGAAGCATCTGGCAAAATAACATTTACATATGTTTACACCTGAATATGTCAGTTTTTGGATGGTTCCCCAACAATGAAAACGAAAACGACAACAACAACAACAACAACAACAACAACAGCAACAGCAACAGCAACAGCAACAGCAACAACAACAACAACAACAGCAGCAGCAACAGCAACAGCAACAGCAACAACAACAACAACAACCACAACCACAACCACAACAATGACAACAACAAAAATATCACAATCACGTTCATGGGAATTTAATCAACTCGAAGGAAACCACCCAGTAGTAGATGTTCAATATTTTATTTTATCCTGTATAGTGTTTGTTGATGGTTAATAAACAATACCCTCTGGTAATTTAACATAGCTATGGAAAATCACCATTTGTCATGGGAAAATCCACTATATATGGTCATTTTCAATAGCTATGTTAAATTACCAGAGGGTAAGACCCTTCTCAATTATCACCGTCGGGGGCAACTTTGGGCTGGTTCCAAGGCGTTCCCGGAACCTCTTGGGACTCCGGACAGAGATACCAACGCCACCGGACCACACCACGCGTTCATCCACGCGATGCTTCGGGATTTCTCCACCTTGCCACCGAGAATTCGATGGCGCTGGTGGGAGATCGCTAAACATACCATCTCGTAGTCTAACAGTTAACAGTTTGCCATGGACATGCACATGTGTAGATGATTTACCTATATTAAATATGATGGCCATTTGCCACGGCTGTATGATCTATTTGTTATTTCACACAGGGTAACAGATCCCATCCCCCTAAAATCAAAAAAAACATTTGATGTTCCCAGTCATAGGTGTTTTTTTGTGTTTTTATCCCTACTAACCTCCCTACTTAACCACGATGGTGACTCTGAGGGGGGTTTCAGGGCTGAACGCGGAAACACGTTCATGGGATCGTTGCATGGTTTTCCCCTAAATGAAGAAAAAACCAGCCGGTTTCCAAGGATAGCAAAT